GCCGCCACGGAGACCACGACCGTAAACAAAGATCTCGAATTTTTTTGAAACTCGACTTGTATTACTAATTTCTTCTCTGAGGTTCTGTTCTTTCTTGTGAAGATTTGACGAAAGAAAGGATTCTGTTATAGATCTAACGCTGTCTACGAAAATCAATAAACTCATTTCGATACAGATGCCATATTTTGCAGATATTTTTCTCCCTAATGATTTATAATAATAAAAATGGTGTCTCTGCAAGTTAATATATTTTACCTATATACATATCCAGAGTTTGTTTTATCTGTATTACACTTTATAGCGAAAGCATGGAAGAATCAAAGATGTAATTCAAATCTTACATAATTTCCCGTATGAAGACAAGTAGGCCTACAACAAGAACAACAACGATAGTTTACGAACGAGAAGAAAGCCTTCTCTGTAATTTAGTATATCTATAATCTTCGTCGACTGGTAATATGACACGGTGAATAGCCTTGAGATACGCTCGATGAGAACTTTCGAATGACTTAAAGAAGTCACGCGATATTTGATTGCCATGGTCACAACATGTCAACAGAAGGAAGACGGTATAAATCCGACATGCTATTGATATATGGATATGTTTATGTATCATTCTTCAAAGGTACATTTCTGACGAGGAATAAACTCTGGATCAGTTATGAATGAAGGCAAAGTAAATGAAAAGCATTATCACTCTTTATTGTAAAAATGATAGGTGTGGCCACTGTAAAATTAAAGTGATTAACACACACACTTGTCTAGCAATCTTGCCGACCTGCGTCAGCAATATATATATATATATATATATATATATATATATATATATATATATATATATGTGTGTGTGTGTGTGTGTGTGTGTGTGTGTGTGTGTGTGTTAGAAAAAGGGTGTGAGTTGTGTGGGGAGTGTTTTCCCTTTGCCGAGAAAAATGGTTTGCTCAGCGGAAAATAAGTTCTGAAGAAAATCACGGGGGAACTTAACTTCAACACTCAGTGGGGAAAGTCAAAGTAATGAGCAAAAGCAGAACCAAATAATATCCAGTAATGGCCCACCAGTAATATACATTGTAGCAAAAGTAGATTTATTAAAAATGAAATCGTGATGTTTGTCTTGTGTCAAAAGGGAAGTAATAGAAACTGACGTTAATTTATGTTTATTGAACATACGTGATAATTACATATTAAGTGCTAACAAAAGTAATCGCCTTTATGTAAAATAATAAATCTATGAAATTAAAAATTAATTTCGTTCTTTTCAGGAAGTGGCGATATTCACTCTATTGTCTAGTTGGCAACCGATGAGGTAAGCTATGACTATTTGTGATTTTTATTTTCCTGGTTTCCTTTCCCATTATCATTCGCCATATTCAAATATACACTGAAGAAACACACCATAATGTATCACGCAGATTAACAAGGGATAAAGGGACAGAGCTTAAAATAACCTCGGGTTTGTTCAAAGATGGAGCGCTGTGAGATTTCAGATGTAGATACATAAATGGATGATCTACTCGATGTTGTGAGATTTCAGATGTAGATACATATATAGTTGGATAATTTACTCGATGTTGTTATATCTACCCAATACAAAACAAGCATTCCACTCATTTACTTGTGATAACGAGTTCCATACCATAAACAGCAGTCAGTATAGGAAAATAGGACAAAAAGAACATTTTATTTTTTTAGACAGTAAAGTATATGGAAAGGGTGCAACATATACATACCTTGCATAAATATTTATACTTATCTACTCTATTGGAGGCATGGTAGAATGAACAGAGAATGCGTTTCTTGTGGTGCCAAAGTCTCCTGTTCCATCAGGAAGAACTTGAAAAACCAATGCTTTTGTCGTGATAATCGACACATTTCTAGTAAATGCCTTTGCTTCACTATACTCTATAGCATCGAAAGGGTTTCCTTCATTTCCTGTCACTCCTTCAACAATGTTTTGTTTCTCGCGTACATGCATTGACTCATCTACACATGTTTTATCTATCTCATTTTTGGATATCTCGCTGTTCGTCTGGGCTACGGCTTCTGTGCTAGAGGTCGCACTAGGAATTCCCATCACAGCAATGGTTTCACCCCTGGGCGAAGTATGACTATCTGTCTTCAAGAAGTTTGAACTTCTACATGGATTAGGAATCTCTGGAGAGGTTTCTCTCCTTCGGGATCGGTCCTCCACTCGCCGTCTGAGCCAACGACAGAAAATACAGGATGTTAGACGCAGGTCAATCCAAGCACGTTGCCTTATTTCGGAAGACAACAGAATATACCCAAGTGTGATGATGGTCTGCGATGAACTGACGACAATTTTATATTTGTTCAAGTTGGTAATCTCAGAACACTTTTCAAGTGCTAAAAAAACCGAGCTAACAAAAACCGTGGCCATAATAACAACAAAGACAAAGAAGTTGGCTAAGACTGATACCAGGGACTTGGTTTGCTGGTCACTCTGGAAATTCCTCTTGCGTAAGATATGCAGAATGTGACA